CAATGGAAAACGAACATAACCAACGACAAAGCCCATTCGTATGCCTGCCAAAAGATGGCCGGCGGTTCATTGTCGGAGTTCTAGCGTCGTCCGACGCGGACCCGCTCAACTCCGTCATCAGTTCGCTCAAACCACAGCACGGCAGGCGGACTAGTGCCACTGTCAGCAGCCCACATAAGTACAACGCCACGCCTTCTTTTTACCGGCGCTTTGTCTTGGGTTTTTTAATCCCGATCGGCACGATGCAGCCCATGGTGTTCGAAGCTAATTGGCAGCCCAGTGTCGCGGCGCGCGAAAGCCGGTGACTGGCGGCGCTCACGGCGAGCCAAGCTGGCGTCCACCTGTGTGATCCGGAGTGGTGCGGAGTCGTGAGGAGGCCACCGGAAGGAGTGAGCGGACTCGGCGAGGCTTTCCCTAGAGTTTGTGCTTTAATGAACTGAAGTGCCTCTCACATCGGTAGCGGAGAGGCAGCGAGCACCAGTGCTTAGATATGGTGTTAATAATATCATGTGCACAATGTCTGATCATCTTGACTCACATTCAGCAGCGTGGTGACTGCTTGCGGAAAGCTGCACTAGCCAGCGAAATACACGGCCCGTCGATGCCCAAAATGGCCTTTGACATGTCCATGGTTAGATCCATGCAACCCCAGGGTCTAAATGAAAATTTCGTCTTTAGCGGTGATCAAATTTTTGCAGGGTGATACGTCTGCACTGTACTGACATCCTGGAAGCATACCATTCGTATGCTCGCTCGCTAGCGTTGACGAGTGCGGCAATGGCGTGGCGGCCTCACCCAGGATCAGCTGTCGGCCGGACTCCGGGCGCGGGAGGCGCGCCGCGCTGCAGCGTGCAGAGTCGGGACCTGTTGGGGCGCCGGAGCGCGGCCGGCCCGGCGCGGCCCTCGTCCAAGGCCACCCGCTCGCGGCGGCCGCCTCAGCTCCGCCCGAGCGCGGCGGCTGGCCGGGAGATCCCAGGCGCGGCCTGACCGGGGATCACAGACGTCAGCCTGCGCTCTGTGGCTCCAGGATCTCAGCTGCCACCGGCGGATGCATTGGCCTGAACTGGAAGTTTCTGACCTGAACTGCGGCCTTGTGGCATGAACTGCGATCCATCGGAGTCAAGTGTGCTGCGATGCCCAAACAATCTGGGGTTTTCTGATACGGCTTGGAATCTCCCAAGCTAAAAGGATTGACTCCTGGCGTAAGCTGTAATTTCCTGTCCCCGCCCCATGCTCCGCGCTAACTTGCGATCCTTGAACTAACCGGCAACCTTTTTGCCTACCGTGCGATGTTCTGATCAAGCCGCGCTAGCTGGCTGTCAAAGGCATTACATGCACTTGGTGCAGCATTTCCCGCATGCCGTATCGCTGCACGCCTCTGTGCGTCGTACGTGCACGTTGAAACAAAGCGGATTTGCAGCACACGACTGGCTGGAGGCAGCCAGGGCTGACCTGACCAGGCTGGTGACCGGGCGACCGAATGCGGTAGATGAACTCTGGCTGACGCTCGTGGTCCGCGACCAGCACTGAGCGTACCCGCTCTACGGTTGGGTGAAGCAACGGTTTCTGTTTTGGGCTTTTAGATCGTGAAGGGAAATGCTGCATTTATTGACGTGCGCCCGCGCTCTCAAATAGAGAGGCTCTAAAAATGCCCCGATTAATGAGGTGAGAGCGCCAGTTCTGTTGTTTGCACTTGTCTGCGGGAGCAAACGTGTTTTGCCTAGTTTATTTTTCACGCAACGTCATATAGTCAATATTCAACCCCCCATGGAGATGGGATCCATGCTCCTTCGCCTCCTCATCTTTAGCCACTGAACTCAACAACGTTGACATTTTGAAAAGGATGGGCAGAACAGAATCCGCTTTGCGCTCACAACTGGTTAGTGAAAACCAGACAGCGGGCCTGGCCATGGCGGTGTTTGTGATGCTGGTGTGTTCTTCTGCATGGTCGGCGTGTTTGCGGCTGCGTCGCAGAGCGGGGGACGACCGGTTCTTGCAAGGCTCCAAGGCCCTAGAACTACCGCAAAACACCAAGGTCCTGGAACTTCCACAAGGCCCAAGGGCCTCGAGCTTGGTCGCTATCACTGTCGCCGTCAAGCCAGTTTTCAAATCCGCCAGACCAGTATTTCTTGAACTGTTTCTCCGGCAGCCAGCTATGGTTGCAGGAAAGTTAACAAGACAGTAAGCGGCAAGGTGGATAAGCTTTGAACACAGCCACCACTGAATAGAAGAATTCAGTGGTGGCATTATATGTTTCCCTTTGCCACTAACTTCGGCCTGACCCAGGCAACGGATTCAAATGTTATGAGGTCGGTTTTAATACAAATGTACTTATTTTTCGGACTTCCCTTCTACAATGTGCTTAAGACAAACCTAAAACCCAAGAATGATATGGCATGCAAACCTGTGCCCGCTGTGTTTTGCAGCTGCACCTGCTCCAGCAGTTGTTACACAGGAATACAGTTTCCTATTCTGTTGGGTGAGGTGGGTTTGGAAGGTTTCAGTCCCCTAACTTTGAGGAGATGGTGCGCCGAATCCCGGGTGAAACCCGTTTCTTGGTGTGTCTTGGGCATACACTCGCCAGTTTGCACTGCTCAATTCCTCACCCCCAACCCATTTTGTAAAGCTACGTCGCTTTGTCGCCATGCCTGTTCTGGGCAGATAGGCTGGGTGGGCCCCAACGGCCATCTATGAGTCAGTTTGGAAACCGGAGAGCTCGCCAGGCGACACGGTGGATGTTGAGAAATTACCGGGTTGGAGACGTCACCGCATTGAGAAGCGCTATCACCAGCCGTACGGACAGCGACAGTGAGGCGCTGTCAGTCAGCCGCCGTGTGCAGTGCATAGGGGCGGGGCCCGTGGGGTCGTGATCGAGCCCGTGTGGTCATGACCGGACCCGTGTGGTCGTGACCGGGCCCGTGTGGTCATGACCGGACCCGTGTGGTCGTGACCGGACCTGTGTGGTCGGCACCGGGCCCGTGTGGTCGGCACCGGGCCCGTGTGGTCGTGACCGGGCCCGTGTGGTCGTCACCGGGGCTCGTGTGGTCGTGACCGGGTGCTGGCGTTGCAGTCTCTTAGAGGGGCCAGCGGCTTCCTGCGCAGCACTCTCGCAACGCTCCTTTCTCACTTTCCCGCTGAGTATGCTATAGGAGATAGACGAATGTTTAAACGCGTTTTAATGCTCTATAGGCTTACGCCAAGGCATGGCCTCCAGCGACGGGGAAGGACTGTCGCCAGTAAGCGACTCACGGCATGCATTGCGTTGCATTCCGAGGTGGTTTGCGAAACAAGTTGTGTATCGAACATTGGATACGTATCGCACAGTAAATGGGCAGCAGCCACACCTTTTCCAATTTTCTACACTGGCTTTACGACTTCGCCCGCTGCTCTCACTTCATATGACAGCCGCTTCGCTTGTGCCCTCCTGTGGTCCGTGCAGCCGACTCTTACCAGACACCTTTAATTGTGATCACGCATGCGTCACACCAGCTTCACATCACCACGTGACATCGCCGCCACCACCAAGCCCGTGTGCAGCCGCGCTCAGCACCGCCCCTGCACCGCCATTGTGACCTGGGCGACGCAGAACGCTGGTTTTCGTGCCGGGTCGCGTTGCGACAGCGGCGGAGGCAGGTCGAAGCGAGTTGGCGCGCCGGGCGGCGACACGTTCGCGGTCGCCCCCCCCCCCCCCCCCCCGACCGTTCACCTCAGCCGGCCGCGCTGCCGCGCCGACAAACAAATTCACAAACGCGCTGTGGAGAAACCTGCTGGCCAGCAAAAAGCCGTTGGGCGACACGGAGGAAACCCGGCAAACAGGACAACCTGCGACATACTCGATCAGCGGCTGAAGGAGGTTGATGCAGCATGTGGAGCAAATGAAGTGATGACGTAGGCGGAAAAAAGGAGCAGGACGCCGGACACACAATGTGTGCACAAAAATACGAGACAAATGGAGGAAGGGCGATAGGGAGCTGGAAGGAGATAGGGGCGAGGAGGCAGAAGCGTAGGGACGTCTAAAACATTGTGAGGTTTGCTCCTTCTTAAAGTCAGCGCCTTTCACACGCCACCTTTCACCGTTGCTGGACCAGTATTAGACCTTCACGAAAAGAAGGGGACTGCAGTCCCTCTTTCTCTCGTTACCATGCCTATTACCAAAAGTTAGAGGACAGAAATGACTTGTACATATGCGTAATAAGGGCAACTTTCATACATTGATGTCGTGTTTGCGGGCAATTCACCGAGGGCATGATGACTGACGTCAGTCAACATCGCTAGTCTTGAGGGAAGTTCCTTTGAGCTGCACGCCCGCCCATTGTGACACGGGCGATTGATAACATATTTAGAGGGCACGCAGAGGTCAAACTAAAATCAGCGGATGGTTTGAGTCAGTTCGCGTAGTTGTAACGCCTGACTTGAGATAGTTCAGTAGCGTTTTGCATCAGATGCCAATTTAGATCGACCAGCCCAGAATTTTTTTTCCCTCCCCACTTCCTGCCGTTCAACCAGATTTACGACATCCGCTGCTGTAATTGATGTAGGAGGCATAAACGTGAGGTAAGCAGAGACACATTAATTTAAATCTCACCTGATCACAAAACTCAATACCCTGTAGGGTCCCAAGATTCTCACCCCGCGTCCCTGGACGCACCCTGAAGAGTCCCGAGATCTTCCGTGGAGCGGTCCTGGATTCACCCCACAGAGTCCCGAGATTCTTACCCTGCGTCCCTGGACGCACCCTGAAGAGTCTCGAGATCCTCCGTGGAGCGGCCCTGGATTCACTCCGCAGAGTCCCAGGATTCTCACCCTGCGTCCCTGGACACACCCCTCAGAGTCCCGAGATTCTCAGCCTGCGGAAGCGGAAGCGGGAAGCATGCCGATGCGAACACTGCCCAGCTCGTTCTCGCAAACTCACGGCGCGAGACAAAGTGGCCGAGTTCTGCTGGTCTTAACATGACGCGACATGAACAGGCTGCAATAGTGCGTGCGCGCCTTGTTTGCAGGGAGGAGCACGGCAAGAGGATTTCTATCATACTCGACATGGGCAACGCCGGGCTCTCCAGCGTCGACCTTCCCTTCATCCAGGTCCTGATCAACATGTTCAAGCTGTACTACCCGGACATGCTCAACTACATCATCGTCTTCGAGATGCCATGGATAATGAACGGTGGGTGGTCCAGCTTCGGCTCCTGATGCCCACCACTCTGTCTATCTGGATGACCTCGGGCCTTCAGGTGATACACATACTGAGCCAAGACTAGTGGAACATGGGCAAGGGCTGGGGCTGGGGGACAGCGGCCAGCTTTGCTTTGATGTAGACGTGGAGCAGCTGTATTAGGCCTATCAGGAAATGTAGGTAAGGTGCTTCTCTTTCATTTCCTTTGTATCATTTGCCAGGATTGGACATATCGATATTGACAGGGTATTTCAACTTAATATACTGACGTCGCAAACAATTAGCTCCCTCTCGGTCATGTGGATTAGCTACCTATGAGTTGTAAGCGCGTTACTATCACCATAAATGCATAGCGTGTCCTTTACTTGCCACCTCATGCGGTGCTGGCATCGAATTCAAAACACACGGCACGCTCGATCACTCGCTGTAGGGACGGACCGAAGGCCGGGGCAGCGAAAACAAAAACACGCGTAATGGAATGAAGTGAACATGGCGACGGGACTTCCACATTTCCGTTCCACGCGGTACTGTTTTTAGACAGAAACTGACATACTACAACGACTTTCAGGCCAAAAATGGTCCCCGCCTGACATCATTCAGTTGTCTTCCTGTGTGGTGTTATTGACGATTGAAAATTTGCAAAAAAAGCAACAACAAAAACTGAAGGGCTGTTTGTCTCATTATATCCGAAACTTGATAGGGGCAATGTGCGTTTCGCATCAATACTAAAAGTTAACAATGCAAATGTGCCAGACAGTGACGTCACGTTACATCACTCTTCTGCGCCGTAAGCCGTCCCCGTTGATGTCGGTGTGCGAGCTCGCAGTACGGAATGAGCTCCGGTCACGTACCGCCTCTTGGTGCTATCGATGGGGTCTACTTCGATACGGCGGTATTCTGTGGCCCAATGCGAGGCTTGTAACTAATATTGAACATCATGAACAAATGACAGCGCGACCAATGACGTCCGTGCATTTCACCCGCCTTACACGCGTCCAGACAAGAGAGGCCAAACTTCCCAGTCATTTTCATTCATTTGCTTGCCAGCCTGCGGCTGAAACTGGCAGCGCTGGCGAGGGCGTCAGCCTGCCGCTCAACGCGAGACAACTGAAGGCAAAGCTGGGATTTCCCGGCCACAGTGCGCCTCATTCCGGACCGGTGACATCACGTCAGATTGAGCCCCACCTTCTGAGGCCTGAGGTGCTGCGCGTGAGGCCCCACCTGCTGAGGTCTGAGGTGCTGCACGTGAGGCCCCACCTACTGAGGTCTGAGGTGTTGCACGTGAGGCCCCACCTACTGAGGCCTGAGGTGCTGCGCGTGGGACCTCATCTGCTGAGGTCTGAGGGGCTGTACGTGAGGCCTGAGGCCTGAATATGGGACAGAGACGGCACGTACCAAGTCCCCCCACCGGTCAAAGCATACCCCTTGAAGTGTCGTTTTCATGTTGTCTAGCTCCGCGACTGGAGCCAAGTGTCCGCCCGAATTTACACGGCCTGTCAGACGTAGGAGCAGACATATCGATTCAGCTAGCACTCTCGTGAGAGGACAGGCCGATTCAGTAAGCGCTCTCGTAAGAGGACTGGCCGATTTAGCTAGCGCTCTCGTGAGGGGACATATCGATTCAGCTAGCGCTATCGTGAGAGGGCAGACCGATTCAGTAAGCGCTCATACCGATTCAGCCAACGCTCTCGTGAGAGGACAGGCCGATTCAGTACGCGCTCTCGTGAGAAGACAGGCCGATTTAGCTAGCGCTCTCGTGAGAGGACAGGCCGATTCAGTAAGCGCTCTCGTGAGAGAACAGGCCGATTTAGCTAGCGCTCTCGTGAGAGGACATACCGATTCAGCCAACGCTCTGGTGAGAGGACAGGCCGATTCAGCTAATGCTCTCGTGAGAAGACAGGCCGATTCAGCTAGCGCTCTCGTGAGAGGACGGGTCGATTCAGCTAGCGCTCTCGTGAGAGGACAGGCCGACTCAGCTAGCGCTCTCGTGAGAGGACATACCGATTCAGCTAGCGCTCTCGTGAGAGGACAGGCCGATTCAGCTAGCGCTCTCGTGAGAGGACAGGCCGACTCAGCTAGCCTTCTCGTGATCCCAGCAGTGGGTTTGCGATCAGTCATACTCATGAGCGTTTTGCACAATTGATCAGGGCACGGGACAAGGTATGACTGACGCGACAGCTAAACGCTGCCCGTCATCCCGTGATGGTGATCACAGTCTCCGTTTATTTCTGTCGTAACCAGATAAGCCGCGTTTAATGATTGTCACTCCGCGTATAACTGCCTCACAGCCGCCTGGAAGATCATCAAGCAGATGCTCCCCCCGAAGTCGCACCAGATCATCAAGTTCGCCTCGAAGAAGGACATTGCCACCCTCATTCGGCCGGAGGACTGCCTGGAGCGGTGGGGAGGTGAAAACACGTGGACCTTCCAGTACCGACGAGAGGAGTGCGAGATGCCACCGTCGCCATTTTTGGGTCCCCGCAATAACCAGGTCAGTTGGCGCAACAACGGGGCGGTTTCACGCAATGCAGCAGATAACCACGGCCCAGATTTCTGACCCTAGCAACATCCGCCTGTCTCGTCCAGGCGTGACAAAATGCGTAGTGCGGACCGTGATCGCGGTGGCACTCGAGCGGCATGGGAAGGATCGTCATGCTGTGGAACATGTTACAACTGCACGCGGAAGCACTCCGATACACGTGGGAGAGTGACAGGGGATCCATGGGTGTAGAAACAGGGGGGGGGGGGGGCGGGGGCCCCACGGCCCCCCAACTTTTTAAGGTGGGAGGGGGGGCAGCAGTATTAACTGGCCCCCGTACTTTTCTCAGATTAAGGTTGTGTTTAGCTTACTTTTGCACCACATTAAAATCTATATGCCGATTTACCTAGTTCACCAGCCATCTTCCTCAAGATGCGTCATCTTTTTTGTTTGCTTATTGGCCATCACTTAGTGCCACAGCCGCAGGCCGACGCCACGCGGCCTATTGAGCCTACAACGCCGGGAGTCCGGGCTGTTGTTGCTATGACTTGCGAACGCGAAGTTCAAGACCATATCACATAGTTTTTTTTGTTGTTGTCAGTAATCAATCCTGACTGAAATTTGAACATTTTAAGACGAACATGAACTAGCCATGTTAATGCAAGCCTAGGACCCATTTTATTTACAATGTGCGTTCAGGGATTCCTCAATGTCTCTGAAGAAAACAGAAAAACACGGAACTGGAGCCTATGTGACAATTCTTGGATCACCTTTGGCGATCAGGGATGTTGTTGCGTCAATAAGGGTTCCTGTGCTGATCCGAGGCCAACTGCGCGGGTCAGGTCTCCCGTATCGGGGGGGGGGGGGGGGGGGGACAATGTGATATGATATATCCTTCCAATGGCCTCCGGATCGACCAGGAGATCCCGCTCCGTGTCGCCAAAATAACAACCAGATGCTTCGCGATGGGACGGAGTGGCCGTTCAGCCCTTAAACGGAACCGGTAATATGCCCCCGATGTTCTACTCAATGGGCCCTTTGCCCGGCAGGAAAGAAGGGGTCTCGTTATTGTTTATTAGAGTGGGACAGATAGTTTAATCTGTCTTCTCGACAGATTAACAGTTACAGAAACACGAAATTATAAAATCTGGCTCTACTCTTCCATTTCTACCACCAGACTCCAACACCACTTCGCGGTGCTTCAAGGGCCAATCCGTTCTTATCATCAGTCTAAAAATCGCACACGTGAAATATGCGCCCAGACTGCCTTCTCAGTGTCAGATTTGATGTCCTGAGACGTTCAAGGTACTCCTTTCAGAACGGTATCATTTTCATCCACCCGTTGGCAAAAGCTCAATATAGCTGTGAGCCGACGCTGCGCGGCAAACGGAGACTGCAAACGCCTGCGTCGAGGTTTTTGTTACTAAGATTTGCGAGCACGCATGCTCAAAATTATGGTCACATTTCTTTGATTTCTATCGATTTGAGTGTTTAAAAGCAATTTTTCAGAAACGTTATCATTTTCGTTCATCAGTGAGCACGGCAAAAATCAACCACTCGGCTAACGCCTCCGCGGACTACCATGGAGACTGCAACGCCTGGTGTCGAGGTTTTTGTTGCTAAGATTTGCGAGCGCGCATATTAAATACCACGTCATATAGATTGTATCACTAATCACTTCTGACTGAAATGTTAGACATTTTCAGACAAACTTGACATTGCGATGTTAATACAAAATGTGGACCGCTCGATTTGCAATACAAATGTTCACCCTCAAATTTCGATCAGACATATCGATCTACAATTTACCTTCGCAATGTCCACAATGTCTGTAGAACCCAAATAGAACATTTTGAAAAAGCTTGCGAGCTCAATCGGTTCAGAAAGAGCCCACTAAGCCATTGTAAATTAAAGACACCGGTGATTTATTCCATGCGGTTCTCAAACACCTGCTTCCTGCAGTTTATTGACCTTAAAAATAGGAGCAGTATTGATCTCACGGTAGCTTCTGGCTTCTGTTCTGGTTACAACGTAATAGTAACAATGAAGCGAAGAAACCGTATCCCTTGTTAACAAGTAATCTATACCCGATAATTTTTTGGGGATGGGGGATCACCATAAGAGGGGATTTTGTTAACCCTGTGTCTTTCTTAGCAAGACTCCTGGCTACCCCCTGCCTACACACAGAAGCAAATCAAGTCATCTACGTTGAATGTCGGGGCGGTTAAATGTCCGTTGGGCCAATTCATACCTAAAGTAGGCAGTTTCCTGGAGGGATTTTTCTCGGGTGGTGTGGTGTAAGGGAAAGGCGGTTCGGAAAAAGTACTGTTGCAGGTGTCCAACACACGTTTTGCAGCAACGCTGAGCCAGAAATGCGCAACAAAACAGCCATACCATCAGTTCGCGGTCAGTCATTCAGAGACAGCCGGACCAGAGGCAGTGGCCACTGACGGCGGACGGGAACAGGGCTCAGACAGGGAAAATATGACAGAGGGCATTCATTCTGTGGCTTTCTTTTCAAAGGAGAATCTCCAGCTCTATGGCTTCTGTCACATGGTTTTTGGCAGCTTCAAGCTTCCGAATTTGTTCCCGCCTAAAATACCGCGACAAGTCTTATCTGTTTAAAAACAGCCAGCGAAATGAGGGCGCAAGAAAAACATGTTGTACTGTGAGCCACTGATTCACTTTCAAAATTCTCACCAGCGTATGCTCAGGCCATGTTTTGTCATCTGACCTGTCAAGACAAATGCCTCCTCAACGACCAAAATGTCTACCCGCTCGTGGGTTTTCGCTTCCCCGGGAAATGCAACGTTTAAATGGACGAATTATCTGGAGGAGTTGGATAGCCGTATTTGCCAAAAATGACATAGATGAGTCAGATAGACGAAAATGTGCACCAGTGAGAAATAATTCTAGATGCATATCTAGAATAGCAGTCATTACATTTGAATAAAGAGCGACAACCTCCATCTTTACCCCCCCCCCCCCGAGACAATCGGGCTTGTTTTCCAGAAAAAGCTCCTGAAGTACGCCCTGAGCCTGCCCCCCCCCCCGTCACTCTTTGAAACGTTTCTGCACCTATGAGGGGATCCCTGGTCAAAGCGTTACCATTTCGTTTCAAAGCCCTTCTCGTGGCAGGTTGACAAGCCGGATGACGACGGTGCCAGCCAGAGCAGCGACGGGAGCGGCACCAGCGGCGGCGGCGCCGGTCAGCCCCGCCCGGGCCGCGCGGCCAGCCGTCCGGAGCCGGCCGACGCCGACGCCGCTCCCGAGGCCCCCGTCCGACGGAGGGCGGTCCACCGGCGGCAGACGCCGCCCGCCAAGAGGACGGCCGCCGGCGAGGACGGCTGGCCGGCGGCGCAGCGGCCGCTCAGCGGACAGGGCAATCTGCTCCACTACCACAGCCTGCTCGACATCCCGAGCGCCGCCGGCGACAAGGCCAAGGTGACGCCTGGCACGAGCGCCGTACGGGCCGACAGTCCTAGTGACGGTGGTCTCCTCTGCCACGCTTGCAGTGTGCACTACCGGCTCAAGCGGCGGTGTGAAGTGCGAGGCTGTCTACTGCAGTTCATCAGCCAGTTTGCTCTCGTGGTCCGTGCCGGCTCGCGGTCACGAGCTTTCAGATTGGTCCCGTAAAGCGATCCTCATGCCGCTAGAGTTCAAGCTCTCCCGACAGAACAAGAGCTTGCTTGTGTTTTCTCTTTTAACGGTTATGCCAAACAGCTGCCCTGGATGTGGAACGGTGCGCTGTATGGTCATCAGGACCGGGTAGGATGTAAGCGGCTGATTACACTGAACCTTCCTTAACCTGCTCATTGTGCACCCTTTGACCTGTGGTGTAAGCCGATTGCTCCACGAGTCTCAGCACAAAACCAAGCCGGACGATATTAGGCGCAGCTACCTGTGTGCGAGGGTCAGTAATAACCTTCTCCTGGTTAACATCTCGGTCTTGATGTGTGCGTTTACGTGTGTGTGTGCGTGCGTGCGTGCGTGTGCGTGTGTGCGTGCGCAGGCGACTGAGCCGCGTGCCTCCTGCCCGACAGAGCCAGGTGTCGGACGACAGCGGCGCCTCCAGTGAAGACTTGTCTGACCAGTCTCAGGAGGGCGCCGACGACACGGCCGTTGAGATCGGTGCGTGCTCATCAGAGCGCACCGCGCGCGGGTCCAGCCCCCGCGCGGTGTGACGCTGGGTGGAGTAAATGCCCATTACCGTGACGTCGTTAGTAACGCGAGGCGACTGGCGGTGCGCGATCCAGACACCGCCTCTTTGCCACCGTCTGCACTGCACTCGTTATTCACTGGGCAAGATAATGGAGCGTGGAAAGTCGCACAGCTAGATTCTTGCATCGTTCGTAAACTCGTGCTGCAACTAGTCCAACATTGGCGTTCAGATGTCCGGAGCTATTTTTCGTGGCCCGCAGCGTCGCAACTCTACGACAAACTGTACAAACGCTGTTCCGAGGAGGGGGCGGGCCTCACTTCCTCTGCGCAGGGCTGGAGGTCCGTCTTTTGCTAACGTGCGCCTCATGGTAGGCGCGCAAGGAATGAACACGTGACCATGCGCGCAACCCATTCCGAACTAAGCAGGCGTTTCATGTTTGGCGGCTATCCCAGCGGCTCTCGAGCCAATGATTCAAGCGGCCAAACCCATGACAGCCACTCATGCAGCTGCTCGTGCATGACGTATGCGTGCATCGATAGCTGAGTTTCCAACTTGGATCATTGGTAAAACTGGGATCACCGGTAGCGTCAAAGTACAGGGACCTGATGTGGCGTTCACCATGTATTGTTGCGAAACGCAAACAAATAGGGCCTGACTGCTGCGGGCACTTATCTTTCAATGTCATTACCGATTACCACTTACGCCACTGGTGTAATTTGAATCAATTTGGGAGGGAATCAACCTTATTTCGTCATTCTAAACACCTGACTGACGTGGATACATGTTGCGCAACAGCGCGATAGCAAAAACTTCGGCGCTCAAAAGAACAAGTTCCGTTGCGTGTTCCGGCTCCCAGGCCGAGCCCTGGGTGAAAACAGGGAAACGGCCGAGAGGGAGCGAAAGCGAGCGGGGGCAGGTGGAACGAACTGCGGGCGGGAGCCGACAGCAGGCAGGTGGCCGGCATCAGCAGCCTCTTGCGTTTGCAGGCGGCCTGCTGAAGATCTCGCCAGGTGACGAGATCCAGTTCGCCAGCGACGCCGTCGAGGCCAGGCGACCACTCATGCTGCGCAACATTCGCCGCGGCCCGGTGGCCTTCAAGGTTTGATTGGACCCCCCCCCCCCCCCCCACCAGTTTCTCCCTGAATGTGGTCAGAAGCGGGGCAGGGAGATGTGGTAGCGAGCGTCAGTGACAATATTAGTTCGTGATGTTTTACCAAAAGCGGGCACAGACACCCTGGACAGACAAGTTTTTTAGTTACCATGCTCACTGAATTTTGGCCACGTTCTAAGCACTGGCCAAATAAACTCAACGTTCGGCATTGGCCAGCGTGTTTACCTCAGGATTAGCTGAATGTGAACCTTCGCATCGGCCTGAATGCGATATGTGTATACACGTGATACAACCATCACATCACAGCAGAGCCCCATCGCAATGTCTCGTCTTCCGGCGAGTCCTCTCGCTATGTCTCGTCCTCCGGCGAGCTCCTCGCCGTGTCTCGTCCTCCTGGCAAGCCCTCTCGCCATATCTCGTCCTCCGGCGAGTTCCTCGCCGTGTCTCGTCCTACAGGCGAGTACCCTCGCCATGTCTCGTCCTCCGGCGAGTTCCTCGCCGTGTCTCGTCCTACAGACGAGTACCCTCGCCATGTCTCGCCCTCCGGCGAGTCCTCTCGCCATGTCTCGTCCTCCGGCGAGTTCCTCGCCGTGCCTCGTCCTCCGGGCGAGTACCCTCACCATGTCTCGTCCTCCGGGCGAGTCCTCATGCTGCCCCCACGCCCGCCCGCCGGGGCCGTGACACGCCGCACGGCCGGCCGACGCCAGGTGAAGACGACGGCGCCCGAGAAGTTTCGCGTGCGCCCCTCGTGTGGCGTGGTGGCGCCGGGCCGGCGCGTGAGCGTCGAGCTCCGCTTGGCGCCCGGCGTGGCCGCGCACCAGGCGCTGGCTGAGAAGTTCCTGCTGGTGGCGGCGCCCATTCAGCAACAGCAGGTCGTTGCCGACGACATGGCCAGCGTCTGGAGGGTAGGTGGTCACCGGCAGAGGAGGCGGGGGCGCCGCGACATGACAGCACCTGTAGAGATGCCGCGTGATTCTTTTCGCTTCTGCCACTTTCGTGTAGGAGTGCGCTGCGCAGCTCGAGGTTGTTTTGCAGCGCGTGGCCAAGTTGTACGCACAGCGCAGGCAGACTGGCGGGCGGCGAAAGCAGTCGCGTATCAGCGACCTTCCCGTCTGAACTGTACAGTCTCTCGTCAAATGCTGACAAGATTTTATTCTTCTCTCTACTTTTTATGTACACAACCCAAACGTGCAGCGAACGGAAGGACCCCGACTTTCCCTTACACCTTCATCTCTTCCCTCTCACTATAGATGCTTGCTATCATAAAGCTAAAAATCAGCGTGATGAGCTGAGCCGAGTTTTCGCTGAGCTTCGGGCTGCCTACCCATAGGAAAATTAAGGATGCGCCCCTGGTATAGCCTCCATCTGTACGTCCCTCAGTCCAGTCATCTGCATTATGCTCGCCTACGATGCTTCGGAGCGCGTTTTGCTTCAATTTGCCCCCCTCCCCCCTCCGTTTGGTCACCGCCTGACGTGCCCGGACGCCAGCTCCCGTGTGTCAGCGCCAGCTCTCGTGTGTAGGCGCCAGCTCTCGTGTGCAGGCGCCAGCTCCCGCATGTCGGCGCCAGGTCCCGCGTGTCGGCGCCAGCTCCTGGCCCGTGGCAGCCGCAGCAGCGCTGTACACCGCCGCCCGTGTGTTGGCAGACACTGCCGGCCGAGGTGCGCCTGGAGCGGCGGCTGCGCTGCGCGCCGGCCCCCGAGCGGCCGCTGCTGACGCTGGTGCGCGGCCTCGGCCAGCAGCTGGACGCTGTCTCGCAGCGGCTGGCGCGCCAGCAGGCGCTCTCGCAGCAGGTGGCGCAGCACGGCGCCGTCACCCAGCGCTGGCTGACCGTCACGCTGCTGCTGGTCGCCGCGCTGGCCGCCTGCAACGCGTACTTGCTGTTCGCCGCTGGGACATGTAAGCAGGCGGACGGCGGGCCGGCGGCCAGCGAACGCTTCGGGATCGCACGGCCGCGGCTGGTGACCGGCGGGCTGGCACTGTTAGCCGTGGGAGATGCGCTCGATGCCCTATTTTCGTAGATGCGCGCAAATCTTCTCAAAAGCATTCCTGCTGTTCGCCGGGAATGGTTGGTAAAAGGCGTTGCTAAAGGCCTACAGATGTTTCCAAACGTCTGTCACAAATGCCACTGTCTGTCACACTGTCTGTCACTGCCACAAATGTCACAATGCCAAGCATGTCTTTGAAATGTCTTTCCCCGATGCATGCCCTGCCGCTCGGCGACAAAGTGTCGACGAAGCTGCGCCGAGCAGTAGGCAGCGTGTACAATTGGTTTCACTGATGTTATTTTCAGGCTGATCCGATGGGGGCCGAGTGGACAAACCTGGCGCCGCCACCCAGCAGTGTCTGAGGAGTCGCTCTGCAGCACGCCGCCGCGTGGGCGTTGCGCCTGCTGGCAGCAGCGACGCACGCCTCTGTGCAAATGTAGCGTACCCCGCGGCGGCGGGTGAAGACGAACAGGTGGAGGTCGATTCAGTTCGCCCTGAAGTCGACCCACGACGTCCGATTCACCCTACCAATGGGGAGAGGAAAGGGAAATCGGGAAAGAACGGCCACCCAGGCAAACAAGTGGTGGGCGAAGGAGTCCAGAAGATGAACTGTACAGGAATAGCGCAGGTTGAACCTTATTCCAGGCAAAAAGTCGGCGGAAGGCGGATAGCATATAATCAAAATATGAGGAAGGCGATGGTGCGATTATAATGGGACCATATGAGACGCAGCTATGGCAAGCTGCAGTTAAATCCTTGAAAGCGGCATCCTCCGCGTGTTTTGGGAACGTGGAGGCAAGGTGTTGAACCGTGGCCCGTTGAGTGGCTTACAGTCGTCAATGCGCATGCGCTATGCGTCAAGAAAAAGGAAGAACAGCCTGCAAGCGGCCATCGCGATCGCCATTTGGCCAATCGCGATTTGCACAATGACCCCAGGAAGTCTGTTTTGTATATACACGCTGTCGGGTCGCGACGCCACCTCAGTTGGGGGCGTCAACAACCGCGGCCAGTATACAAGACTTGACACTGGATGCGGATCACGACGGTGGCAAAACTCTGAGATTGGCGCAACGGACGCCGGGACACGGCTGACGTGTGGTGGCAGGTCCTGGCGCTGCGACAGCAGCAGAGGCGAGGTCCAGGAAGCCACAGCCACACGCACGGGCGGCGAGCGACGAGGCCACACTGCTGTGTCCTGAGCACCCGACCACGCTGCCCAGCGCTCGCTGCGGAGCAGGGTAGCGGCGGAGCAAAAGTGTTCAGCATCATGCTTTCTGTGATAAGCACGACCAACACGGCCGCCAATTATTCAGACATGAATAAAACCGTGACTTGCCAAGTGTATTCTGCGGTTTCACCTTTCATGGAAGGGATCATCAGCTGGTGCACCGCCGGTGCTAAAGTAAACGAGAAGTCCCGGGCGCCTGCCTCTCTGCTGGCAACGGCCAGCATTTGTACCTCGTATTTAGACCACGACGGCAACAAAGTGACAAACCAAGTAACATCAAGTAACGATTTATTATGTTGATTTCTAACCCGAACCAGCACTATACTCGAACGCGTGAACTCTCATAAACATTATGTGAACTGTGCAAATATCGAAGCACGGCCGCCGCGCGGCACTGAGCGCATCACGCGTGTGGTGGTGGCGCACCGTATCTTCACAACAAGCAAGCTCAAGATCTGACCGACTTCCAGCGTCCCCGCTCCCTATGGCGGGGAGGGCAGTGCGCCACCCCGCGCGCCGGGGCGGCGCGGCCGCCGGGGACGTCGCCAGCGCCGGGCGGAGCCAGTGTCGCGCGGCGCCACACCGCGTGGGCCGGCGCTCGGGCCCGCTCCTCCGCTGTGCAGGGGACGCCGCAGCCCAGGCAGGCCGAGCCGAGACCGGCCAGCGACGGCGGCGCGCGGACTCCGCCCACAGCACGCGCGTCACGACCGCCGTGTCCCGACCACGACTGGAAGACGAGCGGAGCGGACGAGCGCGGGTGCGCGCCGCACGCGAGGCCGCGTCCGCGGCGGGAGCACGCCTGCGCGCGCGGGCGACGCTGCAACTAGCGGCGGCCGGCGCAGGCAGGCGGTGGCCGCGCCAGCTGAGCCCCACCGGTGCGGCGGCACGTGAGATCGACCGAGCGGCCACACCATCCATCAGCCCCACACGGCCCACCCGCGCACCCTCAACACACGTAACAAGCGCCAGTATAAAATTCATTGCGACTAGATCACCGTTTCCGCGCACGGGGCGACGCCGGCGGGCGCCTCCCAAGCCGCGCTGACGCGGCGCGGCCGGCCACCGGCGGCGGAGAGGGGCGGCGCGGCCGCCGTGATCAGCTGGCTCATGAGGCGGGGGCGGGGCCGGCCGGGCCTATCTGCTGCTGTTGGTCGACGCCAGCGGTGAGAGCGGCGAGTTGGGCGTGGGTCCGTCGCGCGGGCAGCCGTTCAGCGTCACCACCAGCTTGCGCGCGCCCGCCTCGTCCCGGTGCTCACACAGCCAGATGCCCTGGCGACGGCGGCAGCGACGGCGACGTTACACGCGCGCGATGAGACGGTGCCGGGCTGGACATGGTCATACGCGTGCGACGGGACGCTGCCGGAGCTGAACACGGTCACATGCACGCGATGGAACGCTGCCAGGCTGGACACGGTCACATGCACGCGTTGGGACAGCGTCAGGCTGGACACGGTCACATGCACGCGATGGGACGCTGCCAGGCTGGACACGGTCACATGCACGCGTTGGGACAGCGTCAGGCTGGACACGGTCACATGCACGCGATGGGACGCTGCCGGGCTGGACACGGTCGCATACACGCGATGGGACGCTGCCGGGCTGGACACGGTCATATGCACGCGATGGGACGGCGCCGGGCTGGACACGATCACAGGCAGGGTACTCGAGCCACAAACGGCGCACAACAGCATTGCGGGCGACGTGACGGTCACGACGCGACAAGAACGGCGCGAAACACCATACATAACGCTACGGTCAGGTTATACCGCTGTATCACACAAAGGCTGGACGGCGGCAACAGAGACAACAGCACGAAACGGCCGTCAGGATTCACGTTTGATGGCTGATTGTGTTAGCACGCACTCGCGTGGGGTTGGGGGTGGGGGACAGATTGCCCCCCCCCCGCCCGCCAAAGGTTTGTCCGGAATGGGTTCCGAACGACGCGGCGTAGTGCGACAAATTTTGCACAGCTGTAGACACTGAAATAGCGGATCGTTTAGCATAAACAATTTAGACGTACTTCGTTAGGTCGCTGACCTACGGCAGTTCAAAGCGCTTAGGGAACATCCACTGGTTGGTATGATTTACGCATACCATTCCACCGAGCATTTGCCTCTGACGTGATACAACCGCCGGACGTCACAGCAGAACACGACGCGGCCTGCTTACACGCGTTACCGAAACTGTTACGTTTTTATACGCACCAAATGCGCAGCTTGCCTCAGCCACGGCATCATGACGCGGTTGGGGTCGCTTCAGAACCTTATATCAACCATAAAAATATGCTCAAGCGTACGAAGGAACAATTTCGAAACTGGCGTTTATTCCCAACAACGCGCCTGCTTCACTAAACCCGGCCGCCAGCGAACAGCGGCTGACAACATCAGCGCTTTCGCTGACTTCTGGGAATCAGTTGCCTTAGCTTAGAATTCAGCACACTGCACGAAGACGTAGTGAGGCTCTGTGACATACGGACATCACGGAGAGCGTACCTGCCACGTTCCTACATGTAATCGGCCATCGGTGATAGGAACCGTCAGCGAAGAGCCCAGAAAGCATGCTTTTACATGCGCTGGCTGTGGAAAAACAGGTGGGTACGTAATACAACTACAACACCGGCGGCTACCGGATATCTCAATATAGGTTCGGCACAAAATACGCCGGGGTTTCGAATATCTCTGCGAAGGGAGCTTCAATGCACCAATGACTTCAGATATACTGGGCGTACTTCAGGTATTGGACACAAATAACTACCATGAACTAGAACTACTGGGTCTATGCTGATGAAGATGTACCCTACATACGACACGCCGTTTTCCTGTACCGAATTGGTTAACACCGGTATTCTTTCTACACAGCGGTGGGCACTAACGAGTACACGAGTACAGACCAACATACCATATCGTCAGGACCTTCGGCGCAGTGCTTGTATGGGAGGTTCTGAAACAAAACCGCTTCTTAGTTGCATTCAGTCAAGACATGTCACACCTTGCCCAGTGAGGGATAATAGAGCCATTTGTAGCTCCATTGCACATTTCCTGTTGATGGACAACAGCTACAAACATTGTGACCCTTTCCATGACCTTATGAATGAGTTATCAAACAATGACACAACATCTCTGACAACATGGGATGCTCACTTCAAACTCACCAAACATTTGAGGGATGATGCTAGACAAAAGAAAAGCCTCCAGGCAAGATAAAAGACACCAAGAATGCTTCCATATTATCCCTTTATGGGGCTATAATTGGCATCATCAACATGATGGAACCAATGAGCTCCACCTGCACATGTGGCTGCAGCACATGAAGTGACACAATAACTTGCTCTTAATTCAAAACAGAAGTGCCTGAAACACCATGATGCTGCCACACAATGGCAAAGTGCAACATGTGGCTTTTAATACATATTCACTTTCTTTAAAAATGTATTGTCATTACACATCATACTTAAGCCATTGCATGGTATCAGAAATCCCACCAACAAAGCCTGCTTTTCCAAGCACCTCCTGCCAATCACTCACAGAGGTGGAGAGGAATCAGATACATTACCTCAGGCACTATTTTGTTAAGCATGGTCTCCATATCCACGCGAACATTTGGATCCCAATTTTCATTCAATGACAAACTTGCTGATGTGTGTAGTACTGGAAAAGGATATCATGTGTCATTTAAAAGTTTCATTTAAAGACAGCAGTAATAAATCTACCACCTCTTTGGTCCCTGAACCTGAATGAGACTACAAGCAATAGCCAAATATCAGACATCATGGATTCATTCACTGATGTTACAATATTCACAAACCGCAAAAAGGCCTACAGTTGGAGGCAAAAACATAAGCTAAGCCATCTGATAATTATTGTGTGGGTTGTACCATTCTATACCTCAGCTTGCTCTGGGTGGACAATATTGGTAACTTGGGAACATGCCTGTGGACCAGGCAGCACCACACATACTTATTCATATGCTCAATGAATACAACTTTTTCCTTTTTTTTACACACTGCAAGGTTATCAATGTACCAAGTTTGGCATACTACATTGCCAAACTTATTGCACTTATTCCAGGATACTGATGGGGGAGCATGACACTCATACACAGTAAGGGCTCTGTTGCCACTCAAAAAATTACATGCTCAAATGGCTTGTATGGCAGCAAGGACACTGGGCAAAGGTGGATCCTTTGTAGGAAGACGGGAATGTTGTGCTCCACTCAGTGTCCATTCTGTACAACTATTTCAAACAGTTGGACACTTAATCCCCAAAAAGACACAGACAATTTTGTACAAAAAAAATCATAGGACTTCAGCTTACTATACACAATACTCAACAGAAATGTTTGAAGAGCATATGTTTTAAATGTTATATGCTGTCCACCCCTTCTCTACACTGCAAAGAGATGCACATTATGCTGAGCACCTATTTCAAAGTAGAGCAGACATCACCACAACAACTTCAGAGCAAGTATGCCATACATCTGAGTGGTCAAAGTTGGGTGCATGGTCACCACCAAGTTAAGTACATAGAGCCAATGCTCCAGAGAGTCATGATGATGCAAAGGAAAGTTAGTGACACATTAAAAATTAAACATTCAGCAAACTTTGGCTTAGCCTGTGCTTGGCTCACATAAGCAGAAGGTTTGGCACACATATGTCAGGAAGGCACCTGCTACAGTGGATGAATTTTTTAGCACTAACCTCAGGTCAATGTGTGCCCATATCACTCCATCCGTCAGAGTGTCTGCTTCCCAATCTATGTCATCCAAACATATCACAACCAAGTGCATTCATTAGTTATTGCTTTTGGGCAGTAACAAAGAGCAGTGCAAGTGTGGCTGATGTGTGACAAAAAGTTGTAACCCTAACTAAAATTGGCATCTTACCTACATCAATAAAAACCATGCATTACATGCAACAGACTGGCTACATGCACACACATAATAGGACCTTAAAGCAGGTTACATTTATCTTTCACATTTGCATACCAGGAAGCACTGACCTACACTCGAGAACATACTCTCAGGAGGCTGAGTGACATGCCCTGGTCCAAACCATGGCAGATTTCAACAACATGTAGTTTGGGTATGGGTGGGGCACACATCCCTATTTGAGGTAAGTCATTAATATCCACAGAAGAAGCCACTGGACTGGCACGTTAAGAGCATCATGCGCCCACAGCATACAAAAACAGGTAGCACTGTAGTCAAGGACCAAATCTGATGACACACCATATTTATGGGTGACATGCATGGTCAAAAAATCTGCCTCCAATCGGAAAGCTTACTGTCCTATTCTAACAATATTCCATCTGCCCTAAACATCTTGCTGGCATGTTTGCCCTGGTTTGCAAACTGGACCATGTATATATAGCATATATGGCATGGCAACAGTATGCATGTCAGTGTCTGTTACATGCCTTATAAATGTCCATGTAATTTTCACACTGCATACATTGCATAATGGGCCTGCTACATGCTAAGATGGACCTCCCAAGGTAGTAAGCGGAAAATTCATGGCAGTGTTTGATGCGATAGCAAGACCAGACAATTGAGACGCAGTAAGAAAAGCATTTTCACTCACTCTGAACGTGACATAGCCCTACTGAAAACTTTTTAATCTCTGGCAAATGCCTCAAAATTTCATCTGTCACCAAATGGATGCCTCTTTTTTGGGGCCTAAGCTTAATTCTCTTTTGAATCCACGCGGATCCAATATGAACGGCCCCCTTGGGGGACGCCATATTTGTATTCAGTGTCCTGGGTGTGCGGCTGGTAGAAGTTCGAAGTGATAGATCAACAGAACAGTTTTGGGCAATACAGCGTTGTGATTGGGTGGATTCTTGAAGAACGAATATTATTGGTGAAAAGTGGTAGACCATATGCTTCAACATCAGCTTCGAGCTTTAGGGGCGCAATGTGACGAAACAGGCATTCTTTGCATTCGTAGCGCAGCAAGGGAAGCGCCGTGGCTTGTGCGGGGCTTTGCGGTTGCAGGGCTCGTGTGTGCGAGTGGGGGGCGGTGGTGCGAGCGCGGATTTGCGATCGTCCCGTGGAACCAAGTGATTGGAATTAAGAAACAAGAAGACAAGTACGCAACAAGTGTGCAAGTCGCCCAATTCATCGGTTATTTTAAACTGTGGGGGTCTCATCTAAAGGCAGCAGTACGGCAGCTGTGAAGTAAACCAAGTCCAGGGACTTAAGCGTGTCATCACACAAGTGCAACACCGTCCAAATAGACAAGCTTTAAGCATGGGTGTTCCCAAATTTTTTAGATGGATGTCTCAAAGATATCCCTGCTTGAGTGAGGTGGTCAAGGATTATCAGGTGTGTACTGCATTGGAAGGGATGCTTATCACATTTAGGCATGCTGCTTTTTTGTCCAGTTTGATATGATGCTGATTATAATTACTTGGCAGTGTCAATCTGTGCTCAGGAATGACTGTTTTATTACCATGATACGCGCCCTTTTTGTGTGCAAATGTGTAGAAGTCCCTGGGTATAGCTGGACAAATGTGATAAAATGTGTTGCTGGGCTGTATTGGTCATTTAGATTAGCATTCCTATTACAAATGTTGCTTGCCAAACTAGATGCCTATCTGCAGGGATGCATGTTGATGTTTGTAGTATCAGGTATAGGGGTCAAGTTGGTGATTTGTACATCCCTTGTGGGAGTGGGAGTGGAAGTGGGAGTGTGGAGTGCAGAGCACCTTGTACATTAATTAAATTCTTTAAGGCAGAAAAACCATGACATATTCATAAGTTATGATCTTATTATATATACACCATGATTATAATAGCAACAGCAGACATTGGCCTATGACACTAATGGTATAATACTGGTGAGTTAATGCCATCCCAATGGATCAGGGTCAGCTTCCAATTCAAGGTGGAGCTGAGGGTGCATCAATGCCATCCCAGTGGATCAGGGCCAGCTTCCAATTTAAGGTGGAGCTGAGGGTGCATCAATGCCATCCAGTGGATCAGGGGCCAGCTTCCAATTTGAGGTTGGAGCTGAGGGCTAGTTTCTTCTATTCAAGATGCAACTTTTGCATATTGGCATTTGATAAGTTGATATAGTACCTTAATTTGACATATTCAGATACTCAAAATATGTTTTGAAGCTGCCCAGTAATATAATTGTACACAGCTAACTAACCTAACCTAACTGAATGTGACCTACCCCACCCCAATGCCCACTCTCACCCATACCCGCTCCCGCTCCCGCTCCCACTCCCACTCCCAGCCCCAGCCCCAGCCCCAGCCCCATCCCCATCCCCATCCCCATCCCCATCCCCATCCCACCCCCCGCCCTGCTCCCGCTCCCACTCCCACTTCCACTTCCATTCCACTCTACCCTTCTCCTACCCCTATGCCTACTCCTACTTATCATGTTTGTCATTCCCCCATCTACAACCCATACAGCCTCCTACAACTCATCACTGTCCTGTTGATATGTAGAGGTGTGCAACATCATATGCTACATTATTTTCTACTACATTAAGGTGTCATATTAAGCCACCTTGACTGATCAATGACCAGTACACAAAAGCTCCCCTATGAAAAGTACATGCCAACCTTCTACTGGTGGGAGGCCTAAATGTGTCAGCATTGTGCTACCAGTGTAACAGACCGACATCTGCAATTATTATCATGATTGATAGAGTTTGAAGGTATGGTGGTAAGATATTCCCAAGGCTTATCTGTTTTATGATTATTTTGGTACTTCATGTCATAATAATATCAATGGATGTAGAATGTGTTCTTGCAGTGTAAGGTACAAATGTTGATGATGTCTGATGCTATTTGCCCCTAACAGCATATGTATGAAGTGTTAGATGTCTTTGAAGCACCTGCAATAACTTGTGCTGGATTTTTCAGATCCAGAGTTTGACAACCTGTACCTGGACATGAATGGCATCATTCAATCCATGTTCTCATCCTGATGACTCAAACCCACATTTTCGCATCACCGAGGGAGGCTATTTTCCAGAATATTTTTCATTATATTGAGGTAAGTTGATGTCTCATGCTGATATGACACTGCCAAGCTCTCAATGATATGGAAAGAAATGCTTTGGGATTGTGCTTTCTCCATCAAATTTTCTCATTTGTCTTCTGATTGTTCTACCCTTCATTGATAAATGAAACAAAAAATTGATATTAGTTATTAAACACTGTAAAACTTGATCTCATGATTCTGTAATGTAAAAAGATCAGTACCTGTGCATGTAAGGGTAATCCCTGCCAGCCATTCATGATCATCCCCACCCTGCCATGTTGGTGGTCAATGGGAAAGAAGCTGAATTTACAATGTAGCATTACTGGGTATGAGTCACAGAATGGGCACATTGTTTGGTCTGACTAAAATGGAAAGGTCATCTGGCTGAGTGGGGGTCAACATAGGGCTGGAAGAGCTGTGCCACAGCCCTGTGTGGAGTGTAAAGCCCTCCACGTTCTTGCCTGGTGAAAGGATGGAGGCAAAATATCTGTTGAACTGGTCAATGCAACTTGGGTGGCGGTTTTCAGGGTGCATGCAATAAGGCATGCATAGCAGGTGCTCTAAGTCCAAAACCATCCATGTGAACCATTTTGAATAAATTTAGTATTAAAATTGCCCAGTTTTGTTCATAGTTTTGCAATGCATGGTAACCAGTGGGATCAGTTCTGTTTGATCACTAATTTGGTGCATCATTTCCATGTCAGAAGACCTCACAGCCCTGAACCAGTATGCTGGGTGGGGTGAAGACCGAGAAGAGTGTCCCCCCTTTTGATTTTGGTTTTGTCTTAACCCCAGGTCTCACAGGTCAGGTCTGCTCATTGGATTAGTTGCCAAACAGTGTCTTTAATTTGTTTTACCATAGCTGTGTTATGTGCTAATGTTGGCAATCATTCATTTAGGGGTCACAGCTATATTCCTTGCTTCTAGTTCCTGTAGGATCAGGTGTACCCTGGCAATAAACCTGTAATTAATCTCACACAGAGAGAGTGCCACAGCACCATGAGTGATACATGACATGTGTTGTGTACTATTGTAAGCATTGACATAACAGGTACAAAGTGTGATGACACACTGATGACAGGAAATGATTGGCAGTTGTGGGTTGATCCAGAAATGACACAATTTATTGTACATTAGTGGAGGCCTGTCTCCAACATACAACCCTGTTACATGCTGCTCTGAATATCTGGCCGGCTTGAGAATTGATGTGCATATGTGTCAAATGAATTTGTGTATGCATACACACGCCCATGGCGGGTGTAGTAGCGTGCTTTTGTATGCAGGTGCTTTTTCGGATGATCAGACCCAAAAAGGTGTTCTTCATGGCTGTGGATGGAGTGGCGCCGCGCGCAAAGATGAACCAGCAGCGAGGCCGCAGGTGAGTGGGTGATTAGCGCTCGCGAATGAGTTGATGATCGGCGCCCGCAGGTGAGTGCCCACAGATGAGTGGATGATCAGTGCCCACAGATGAGTGGATGATCAGTGCCCACAGATGAGTGGATGATCAGTGCCCACAGATGAGTGGATGATCAGTGCCCACAGATGAGTGGATGATCAGTGCCCACAGATGAGTGGATGATCAGTGCCCACAGATGAGTGGATGATCAGTGCCCACAGATGAGTTGATGATCGGCGTCCACAGGTGAGTGGATGATCGGCGTCCACAGGTGAGTGGATGATCGGCGTCCACAGGTGAGTGGATGATCAGTGCCCACAGATGAGTGGATCATCAGTGCCCACAGATGAGTGGATGATCGGCGCCCGCAGGTAAGTGGATGATCGGCGTCCACATATGAGGTCGTCACTCACTGTGCTCTAAGTTCATTTCCATTAGTTTCGGAGCGTTCGGTGGTGATCGCTGAAATACTGCATTAATGTTGTGGAAAAAATGAATGTAAAAAGAAAAGGGAAGGGGTGAGACCAAGTACATTCAAATTCCGAAGGCAGAGACAATGTGACAATGGTTTAGATATAAGCGCATAAGTTGACCTTCCCCTATCGCGGCTCTCCCCAGCGGCTGCCGACCGCTCCTGAACTGCTTGCCGTTGCCAGGTTCCGATCAGTGCGCGAGGCGCAGGATCGCGAGCGCGAGGCGCTCGCCCGCGGCGAGACGCTGCCATCCGAGAAGCGCTTCGACTCCAACTGCATCACGCCCGGCACTGGCTTCATGTGTCGGCTCAACCGGCAGCTGCAGTACTTCGTGGCCATGAAGATGTCAACGGACCCGCTGTGGAAGGGGCTGCGCGTCATTCTCTCCGGCCATGACGTGAGGATAGCACCGGCTGACGGTGGCCATGACGTGAGGATAGCACCGGCTGACGGTGGCCATGACGTGAGGATAGCACCGGCTGACGGTGGCCATGACGTGAGGATAGCACCGGCTGACGGTGGCCATGACGTGAGGATAGCACCGGCTGACGGTGGCCATGACGTGAGGATAGCACCGGCTGACCGTGGCCACGACGTGAGGATAGCACCAGCTGACGGTGGCCATGACGTGAGGATAGCACCGGCCGGCTGGCTGACGATACTGGACCCGGCCCGGCCGCGCCCACCGGGTGGTTTGGGGGCTTCACGGGTTTGAGAGGTCGTTTGGTCACGTCCAAAGCCTGGATGGATCATTTGCGGCGGGTGAGAGGATGTTCCAAGAGGAGGCGGTACTTTGATTTATGTGGTCACATACATTCTTCGTCGTGTTGTGCAGCAGGCTTTGCTGCATGCTTCTGGACCCGGGACCCATTTGAGCAGTATGGGCGCAACGGGCAAAGCACGCCACTGGCGGATAACAATGAAGCTAGCCGTTTCTGGGAGTGCGCAGAATGTCACCCAAACAGTTCGCCCCTGGACTAAAATGTCAACGTGATCTTGGCGTGGGACCGCCCACGCTACGGCCAACTCATGACAATGCAGCTGACCGTCATGACGCTCAATGCCATAACTAGTTGGCCTGTTGTCATAGCTGTGATGTGCAGTTGAAAACATTGCCGCGTGGGTATTTTGGCCGCAGTGTTTTATTTTCGTGTAGGATCGTTGTCAAGTGTAAGCTTTGTCGTTGGAAATCTTGCAGTGATTGTCTGTAGAAGTACCCTCGCGTGAAAGTGTAGGAAGGAGAAAGTGTCAGTGGCGGTTTATATAGACATCGAAGTTGCGCCGCCGGAAGCCCTGCCGTATCGGGGTTTTGTCTAGAAGTTTTTCCATTGGAAGCTTCGACAATAGTTGCATTATGTGCGTAGAAGTAATGTTGCTTGAAAGCCTCGTGCGTAGCATCCGCATGTCGCAGGAATGATATCGCGTAGCAGGTTGATAGGGTACGGCTTTGTCGGGTTGAAATTTGGTCCGTAGATGTATCATGCGGAAGTTTTGTCTGTAGAAGTCCTTTCCCTGTTGTGTTGAAGTGTTGTCCATTGCAGTGCTGCCGTGTAGTAGTAAGTTTGCACATAAGACATGCCGGGAAGCTCTTTACCTGGGACGTGATTTCATCCAAGAGTTCCGTCGTAGCGGTTTTGTGGGCAAACGTTTTTGTGCTAGCAGCGGTGCACCATTCGGGGAGGTGTCCGTGCCTGCCGTACCTGGCCGCCGCTGAGCCCTGTCGGCCGCAGGTGCCGGGCGAGGGCGAGCACAAGGTCATGGAGTTTATCCGCTACGAAAAATCGCTGCCAGAGTACGACCACAACACGCGCCACTGTCTGTACGGCCTGGACGCTGACCTCATCGTCCTGGGGCTGTGCACGCACGAGCCGCACTTCGCCCTGCTCCGGGAGGAGGTCAGTCTGGGGCCCGCGCCGGGGCGCCGCCGAACGCCCTCCTGTAGTGCCCTGCCGGACGTCAGCCGGCCCTGCTGCGCGCGGCTTTCGTGTGACGTCATCAAGGAAGGCCGCTCGTACGCAGTTCTGCGCCGTTGTCGTGTGTGCGCCGCTGCGGCGCCGAAGCCGGTAATGGTTTCTACTTCTTGTCTTTGTTTTGTCACATTAATGCAAGTGTGGTGCACAGTGTCAGGTTATCATTTAAAGCAGTATGACATCTGGGCCAGCTGCATTATAACGCTCTGACCTCCTCTGACCTATGACTTCCTCCGACCTCTGACCTCTGACCTCTGACCTCTGGCCTCCGCCCGGTCCAGGTGCTGTTCACCAGGCAGCAGTCCAAGCGGACGACGGTGCCAGAGGAGATGACTTTCTACCTGTTACACCTCAGCCTCTTCCGCGAGTACCTGGAGTACGAGTTCAGTGACCTGAAGGCTGCGCTTCCGTTCGAATTCGATATTGAACGCATCATTGACGACTGGGTAAGCGGCCGGCGGTGGTCCAGCGCCATCGAGTGTATTCGGCCATTTGTTTGCGACGACGAAGGGCTGCTTGTCAGCCTGTGACGACGGGGTAGCGGCGCCGATCGCCCGGTGCAAGACTTGGTCAGCCTTTCTGTTTTCATGCTCCGATGTCGGCCGCGTGCAGGTTAATGATGTGTTGTCCTGTGTTGTCTCCTGCTGTTTGATTTCTGCCAGCGGTAAAACGTGTAAGGTGAGCGGCCAGCGGAACGCTTCGCACATGTTATCCATGGCGCCAATGGCGGTCGTGCTAAGGCCCGCTCATACCATGGCTCAAGCGCTAAGTTCGCTGCTTGCATAATCAGGGGTGTAGTTTTCTATAGAGTTAGGTAGGCTTCCACCCGCTCCCCTAACATGGCTCCCCGCACAATCTGAGGACAAAGCGGGCCAAATTCGGGTGACAGTGGTTTTCTGGCGTATTTTGGTGAAAGGTTTCGTCCTTTTCCACCGCTTCCCCCCCCCTTCCCCCTCAATCTTGCGAAAATTACGCCCCTGTGCGTAACATCCATTGAGGTAGTTGTAACGCCACTGGAAGCCCGCCCACCATTCAGAGCACACTGGTCATTGCCATGGTTCCATCTGGCAGATGAACGTATGACCCGGCGTGTACTGCGGCCGCGCTCAGGGGGACTCGAGACTTACCGACCCCCACCCGCCTGCCAGCCGTCAACCAGGGTCGCTCTCAGCTGCTCGCCACGAGCGGAGCGGCGGACACGGCAGGCTCCCCGCCGTCCGGCCGCCGTTTGATGCGGTCTGGTCAGTGCTCTGGAGGGCCTGGCCTGTGAGGTGTCTACCCGAGTCCGCCGCTGCCGGGTCTTCTGCCGGCCCGGCTCGCTCCAGCGCGTGCTGTCATCTCATCGACGCTCCGCCGCAGGTTATGATGGGCTTTCTGGTGGGTAACGACTTTGTGCCGCACCTACCCAACCTGCACATCAAGGAGGACGCCCTGCCAATCCTGTACAGCTGCTACAAGCAGGTGCTGCCCACGCTGGAAGGTCAGTCTGAGCTCGCCAGCCAGGGGGACCGCCGGCGGGACGCTGAGGCGGGCAGGGCCAGGGGGAGGGGTTCGACCGACACCCCGCCTGCCAATTAGGGCCGCTCTCAGCTGGCCATCACCGACGGCTGCAGGGGATCGTCCGAGTCCGCTTCCCGCCCAACGATGCAGTTTTCTGTTGTTTTCACTTAGCGGCTGAATGTCGCCTCTCTGTGATCGTTATTGAACAGGCGGATGTCCGTGTTTTATCCCGCCAGTCGCGGCCGTGACAGCGTCCGATAGCCCGGTGCAATCTGCTTCGCCCTCTTCTGTTTCTATTGCCTTTTTCCGTACCCATCTTGTCCTTTCCCCCTGTGCCGCTCACAGTGTCGGTGTCGGCCCGTGGCCATGTCTCGCCGCCCGCCAGCTTGGTTTGTGGTGGCGGTCGTGGGTGGCAGCCGTGACCGCTTGGCGCGCGCCGACCGCGGCAGGGTACATCAACGACGGCGGCACGCTGGTGCTGGACCGGTTCGAGGCGTTCATGCAGCAGCTGGCCCAGTGGGAGATGGAGAGACTGGAGGACTCCGCCGCCGACCGGCGCTGGCTCAGGAGCAAACGCGGACCCGAGGACGTGCGGTATAAGAAGACCGGCTCCAAGGTGGGCTCACGCCCGGGCCGGCCCGCGCGGCGTGACGTCACGGCGGTGGGCGCGGTGACATCACGAAGGCCGGTGCCGCGCGGGGCTGCGCGGCGACGCCTGAGGTGTACCGTACCCCGTGGCTTCGAAGTGTGCCCTGCGGTCAGGAACTGTGGTGTACTTTGTACCGTGCGGTGGCTCGCCGTCTCCATGGGCTTTGGTCAGAACACTGGCGTTTAACCGCTCTGCCCGCCCCGCTGAGTGCGCCAGTGGATACTGATTACGACTTATATGTGTTGCTGTGGATGCCAGCACTTAAGTGTTGAATGCAATCATAATTGATGCTCACAAATTGGACCAATTGACCGGAGGCTTAAGTTGCGGCCTGGCCGTCAAGTTAAGCCTGAAGCACTGCCATGACTTTTCAGACGAAGTTCAAGCTGAAGGGGCGTGATGACTTCGAGGACTTCAGCATGTTCGACGCTCTGGATGGTGTGGCAGAGGAGGAGTTGGAACCAGCTAAGAACAAGTCTGTGGTAAGGCTGCTTGGGACTAGGGGACTATTGCTGGGGACTGTTATGGGATGTTCCATTGCTGGGCATAGGGACAGCAACCGCAGAGCGGCGAGCTATTGACATTTCCCTTAGCCGAAAAAATACAAGTTTTGCAAGATATGTACACGAGTCCCGAGTCATTGAATCCGAGTCGGCGTACGAACATGGGTCTCGTGAACGCCGGCGGAGCCGGCGGTCCGCATCACGCAATGTGTGTAGAATGGTCCACAATTAAAAGGTCACTGAAAGTCACCAATGGGCGTCGAATAATTCGTACTGCTCACCGCCTGTGGGCGCGCTACTCCGCCGCACTGGACGGCAGATTGCAGACGGGAGTCACGGCAGGCCGCCTGAAGGCGCCGGGCCGGCCTCTCCCAATCCGGCCCCGCATGTGGGCCGACCCTGCCGCTGACCCCGCCCCGCACCTGCGCCGACCCTGCCGCTAACCCAACTCCGCACCCTGGGCCGACCCTGCCGCTAACCCCGCCCCGCACGTGGGCCTACCCTGCCGCTAACCCGGCCCCGCACCCTGGGCCGACCCTGCCGCTAACCCCGTCCCGCACCTCCGCCCCTGCCGCTAACCCCGCCCCGCACCTTTGGCCGACCCTGCCTCTAACCCCGCTCGCCTGTGCCGCGCAGTTCAGTGAGATCCACACCAACATCGATGACGACCTGCTGGAGGGGGACGAGTCGATGGCCGAGCTGGAGTACCGGCAGCAGCGGCGCCACTACTACAAGACCAAGATGGACATTGATATCACGCCGTAAGGCCGGCGCTGGTCGTCGACAGTGCTCCTGCCGCCGGCCTGGGCGCCGAAGGGGCTTTGGTCGCCGCTGTCAGACTGTGGGACAACGCATTACATAAGGACATCGCATGGGCTTGTGTGGTCCTGTTGCAAAGTATTGGCGGGGGTAGTCGTATTTGATTTAGTCCTGTAGTCGCGGTCCTTCTTAGCGGTCGGAATAACTAGCTTTGTATGCATCTAGCGGAACTAGCTGTATTTGTCCGAGCCCCATTGTCGTCCTCCGACCGGGTTTGGGGTGTACTCTAGTTGTGCCATTGCCCAGGCCTGCCAATATCCCTGATCGTACGGCCGTTCTCCGCACCGGTCGAACACTCCCTTCGAACGTGCTCGGCAGTCGCTGAGCGGAGGATCCGCGGCAAGCCCGGCGGTGCCGCCCGCGTCCGTGACCTGTGACCCTCTGACCCTTGCTCCTCCCCCCCTCCGGCAGCGAGGCGGCCGTGCGGCAGGCGGTCGAGTTCGTGCGCGCCGTGCAGTGGATCCTGCACTACTACTACGACGGCGTGTGCTCGTGGTCGTGGTTCTTCCCGTCGCACTACGCGCCATACATCGGCGACGTGCGCGGCTTTTGCGCCGTCGCCGACGTGGTGCGCTTCGACTACGGCCGTCCGTTCCTGCCCTACGAGCAGCTGCTGGCCGTGCTACCGGCCGCCAGGTGAGCGGGGGCGGCCGTCGCCGCCGCCGCGGCCCGAGGCCAGCCCGGGTGCCCGCCGGCGGGCGGCGCGTCAGCAGCGGCTGCGGCACTGCGTCCCTGCGCTCAGTGCTCACAGCACTGGCGGGCAGTGTGGTGACGGCTAGCGTGTCATGGCAATGCTGTTCGTTCCTGCGGTCCCGCAGTCTGGTCTTTTGCGTTGCTTTTTCTGTACATTGCCAGGATCTTTGAATCCCACTTCTGGGCACTCTGAGCCCCTGCACATCGTGCTCGGTTGGCAGGATCGGACTGGACCCCGGCGAGGCGTGCCCGCCTCCTCAGTGCTCTTTTTCACGTCATGATCTTGCTTGCAGCGATTGTTCGCTGTTTGTGAGCTTGCCACCATGGTTACGGACGTATCCTATACTTCAGTCAGGACTCTCTACCCGAGTGTCTGCGCCCGCTGATGACGTCGCTGGACTCGCCCATCCTCGAATATTACCCGGAGAACTTCGAGACGGACCTGAACGGCAAGCAGCAGGACTGGGAGGCTGTCGTGCTGATTCCCTTCATCGATCAGGTGCGCACGTGCGTCCGCGCCACTGCGCGCGCTCGGCAGGGCCGGTCGGTGGCCTCGCTGGGCGGAACAGCGGCGCTGACGGTACCCCGTATGGGCATCTACTGTACAGCAAACATGAAATGTGTGTTTAGCTGTCGCAACCAATCATTGGCCCGAATCCCTGCCGTCCGACGCCGAATGTTCCGCTCGTAGTCTCAAGCCTGCTCCGCTGGAGTGATCGCCAGTTTCCTTCTGGTTGAAATCTCATCTTTTCAACTCTCAAGAAAATTACGTTTATGATGGAAGTATTTTTACCCTAATTGGCTTTATACCACAACCAGTATTTACTCCGTGAAATTAGTTCCACCCGACCCGTAGACTCCGTAGCCGACTTTCCCTGCCGGCCGGCCAGCGGCCGTCAGCGTTGAGAGCGGGCCGCGGACCTGACCCGGTGCGTCCGGCCTGAATTGACTGTGGCCGGCGCTGTGTGGCAGGAGCGGCTGCTGGCAGCCATTCAGCCGCTGTACGCCCGACTGACAGAGGAGGAGCGAGCCCGCAACGTGCACGGCGACGCCCACGTCTTCCAGTACACCAGCCAGGACCAGGGTACGGCCATGCTGGCAGCCGGGGGCCGGAGACCAGTCACCGCCCGCCCAGCGAGGCATGCCTCGCAGCTGGCGGCCAGTCCCCCGCCCGCCCGCTCACCCGGCGTGGCGTGGCGGAAAGTCGGCGCATGGTGTGAAGCTGTGTGATTATGTGCTTGTGTGCGTCGTGTACGCGTGATGCGTGACACGGGCGTCGCGTGTCTTGTGTCGGGGTCTGACCTCGCTCTCCGCGTCACTAGTGCGCCGGGAATCGGAAGCATGCGCGCGCCCTTCTGTCGGCGCCGAAGCCGTGCACGCGCTGAGGTGACCGAAGGTGGCCGGAGCCTGCAGGTGACGGCGTCGGCGGGCGCGGGCTGGCCGTCGTGTCGCGTCTTGGTGCTGCTGGCCGCGCCGTGCGTGGCCTGCTGCTCCGGGCGCGGCCGCCCCTCTGACCGGGACTGATCACCGCCGCCGTCCACAGGGCCCACCGCCTCGCCCGGCTACTTCCCGGCGCTGGAGCGGACGTACGCGCGCGTCTCGGTGCGCCCGCGCGAGCCATTCATCGCCGCCCGTTCGGCGCTGCGCAAGGGCCTGTGCCCAACGCTCGGCTCGACCTGCTGTTCGTCGGCTTCCCCACGCTCAAGCACGTGGCGCACTCGGTGAGGGCCGGCGACGCGGCGGACGGGAGGCGGGCGGCGCGCGCCGGCTCGGTCGCTGCCGAAGCCGATCGTTGATGTCATGTGACGGAGGGGTATTGTACGTTGCGAACCTTATGTCGGTGGCGCCCCTTTGGATTCAAGAGATCTGATGTCCCATGTTTACAAATACTCGGTGGCCGAGTGGTGGTGTGTTGCTGATGAGACACACAAGGCTGTTCAGCTGCTGAGGGAGCAGGCCAGACTGTTCAGCTGCTGATGGGGCAGACCAGGCTGTTCAGCTGCTGAGGGGGCAGGCCAGACTGTTCAGCTGCTGATGGGGCAGACCAGACTGTTCAGCTGCTGATGGGGCGGGCCAGGCCGTTCAGCTGCTGATGGGGCAGGTCAAGCTGTTCAGCTTGATAGGGCAGGCCAGGCTGTTCAGCTGCTGATGGGGCAGGCCAGGCCGTTCAGCTGCTGATGGGGCAGGTCAAGCTGTTCAGCTGCTGATTGGGCAGGCCAGGCTGTTCAGCTGCTGATGGGGCAGGCCAGGCTGTTCAGCTGCTGATGGGGCAGACCAGACTGTTCAGCTGCTGATGGGGCAGGCCAGGCTGTTCAGCTGCTGATGGGGCAGACCAGACTGTTCAGCTGCTGATGGGCAGACCAGACTGTTCAGCTGCTGATGGGCAGGCCAGGCTGTTCAGCTGCTGATGGGGCAGGCCAGGCTGTTCAGCTGCTGATGGGGCAGGCCAGGCTGTTCATTTGCTGATAGGGGGGCCAGGCTGTTCAGCTGCTGATGAGGCAGACCAGGCTGTTCAGCTGCTGATGGGGCAGGTCAAGCTGTTCAGCTGCTGATGGGGCAGGCCAGGCTGTTCAGCTGCGGAACATCAACAAGAGAGCTGTCGACTCAACCAGCCCGTGATTCGCAATGCATCTGATTTTTTTTCGCGGCGCGTCAACCGGGGTGGACGTCGCTTGACATTGACCTGGATGACAGCGGGCATCCAGCAGCGCCAGCGGCGTGCTCGGCGTGGCAGGGATACATCCACGATGAGTGCATGTGTGCCAGTGAATGTTGACTATGAATTGTGTTAATGACAGTGGTGATGGCATGCGAATTTCTCGACAGCAGCTTGACGACGCCAATGACGCTGAGCGTCTGCCTCCAGTTCCACCTGTCGCGCCAGAAGGTGAAGGTGTTCAGCCAGCCGTCGAACGGGGAGAGTGTGATTCTGACGGTGAAGGACCGCTGGGAGGGTAGCGAGCCGGACGCGCCGGCCGAGGCCAGACGGCTGGGTCGCGCCGTGTTCGTCCAGTGGCCGCATCTCACAGAGGCCAAGTGAGTCGCCAAAACTGTCGTTTTTTTTGTCTGTTCCGCGCGCCAGCGTCAGAATGACGTCCAGATGGGCCCTGTATGTCGAGTTAGGATTGTGACGCCTCTTTATATATCTGTTAAGCGACGGATTGTGTTCTTGATCGTGTCTGACTGATAACATCTCCCTGTCGGTATCACGCCCACGCGCTCTCTTCGGCCCGTTCTTGGCAGGATGGCACAGGCTCTATGCTCTTATCAAGCTCATCACGTTTCTCAATGTGCGTGTCGGGCTGATGCCCCGTTTCTCATCACGTTTTTGCATTTGCGTGGGTGTATGCCTCCGTCCCACTCTATCCCAGCCTGAGGCCATCTATTTTAGCTACCATATCGGGCTCATCACGTAGACCCCCGTGCGCGTCAGCCTGGTGCTCTCCGTCCTTCCTGGCCGCCTGACGCCCGGTGTTCCTCCCTGCGTGTTAGGCTGATACCCTCCGTCCTCCCTGGCCGCCTGAAGCCCCGGTGTTTCCCAGCGTGTTAGGCTGATACCCTCCGTCCTTCCTGGCCGCCTGAAGCCCCGGTGTTCCCCAGCGTGTTAGGCTGATAACCCCCGTCCTCCCTGGCCGCCTGAAGCCCCGGTGTTCCCCAGCGTGTCAGGCTGATAACCCCCGTCGTCCCTGGCCGCCTGAAGCCCCGGTGTTCCCCAGCGTGTCAGGCTGATACCCTCCGTCGTCCCTGGCCGCCTGAAGCCCCGGTGTTCCTCGCGCGTGTGTCGGGCTGACGCTGCCTGCGGCCGCCTCCGACAGGGTGGCGGCAGTCTCGTCGATCGAGAGGCGCTACACGCTAAAGCCCGGCTCCGACCAGCTGGTGGTGGAGAAGCTCACCGACGCCGACCGGACCGTTTGGATCGGCCAGATGCATGACATCAAAAACGGGTAAGTGCGGCGCGCCGGCGGCCCGGGCCGTGCCGCCCCCGTCGGCGGTGGCGACGGCGGCGTGTGTGGCGGGGTGTGACCGGGTGGTAGGTGAGGATCGCCGGTTTGTGTCGTCCGCACTGTCCGGCGTCATCTCATTCGTTGCACCACCGGGAATGCTATCTGTCGCATGCACAGCCGTCGCCGAGAGAACGACTGCAGGCGGCTCGGCATTGTCGACGGCGCGTGGTGCGGTCTCCATCAGCTGCACCGCTGCCATGTTAGAGCGACGTGCTCGAAAAAACGATGGTGTGCCGGTCTTTTGCGCGTGCCGTCTCTCACGACACCTACCGACGCCCCCCACCGTGTGATGCACGCGCGCTACGGCCACGCCGTGCAGGTCCCAGCGTCTCAGGCATCGTGCAGGTCTCTAGCGCTTCAGCCGCCGTGCAGGTCCCCGGCGCCTCAGCCGCCGTGCAGGTCCCGAGCTCCTCAGCCGCCATGTTGACAGGTATGAGAGCCGGTTCGGCATCCTGACGGGCGACGTGCCGCTGCTGGTGTACGGGCGTCCGATGACTGGGCGCAGGTACATCGCCACCAGCGCCGGCAGCGTCACGCTCGAGAAGCAGGTGAGCTCACCGGCTTCGGATGTCGCCCGCCGGCCGCGCCTCGACGGCCGGCCCCCGGACCCCCGCACGGGGCGCGCGTGGCGGGCGGTTCGCGGTCCCGTCGGATATGCGCAGCTGTTGTCGCGGCGGACCGGATCGGCTGCCGTGTGGCGCAGCCTTGCTCGCTGTGTGCCGCTGGTCTGCTCCCGAGACGCGCAGCTCTGTGCCGTGGCCGGAGTCGTTCTCCGGCACCTTCCCCACCTGCTGCCGTGGTGGGCGATGCCGTCCGCCGCTTCGCAACGAGCGGAGCATCCCCTCCGGCGGTGCTCAAGTACTCAAGCCTGGAAGAAAAAGTGTGCAGAGCGAGGGGTAGCCCCTCGCTCTCGTGTTACTCGTGACTTATACCAAACGCAGAGGATGATGATCACAATGATGCTGGTGGTGGTTGTGATGGTGATGGTTATGATGACGACAGCGTCCCGCATGGCCGGTCCGCGCCCGGCACTTTTCTCACGACGCGCCGGTGCCCCGCTTCAGTGGTCGCCGACGCCGAAGCCGTTCGCGCTACAGACGTGCGTCCGTGATCTGGACACGCTGGACCAGACGTTCTCCCAGTACGGAACGCTGGACGAGCTGTTCAGCGCCGGCTCCACCTGCTTCGTGCTGAAGGCCGATTCGTACGGAGCGATGGGCAAGGCGAGTGGGAGCCGATGTCCGCGAGCAAGCCAGCGGGTGGTGTGTCCGCGCCCGCCGGCCTCGCCGCTGCTGGGCTCTCCGGTGTGGTATATGGCGCTTCCCGAGCGACGTGGATGGTCCGCGTGCGGTGTGTCCGCGCCCGCCGGCCTCGCTGCTGGGCCCTCCGATGTGGTAAAGTGGTGTGTCCGCGCCCGCCAGCCTCGCCGCTTCTGGGCTCTCCGGCGTGGCATAGTGGTGTGTCCGCGCCCGCCAGCCTCGCCGCTGCTGGGCTCTCCGGCGTGGCATAGTGGTGTGTCCGCGCCCACGGGCCTCGCCGCTGCTGGGCTCTCCGTGTGTTATAGTGGTGTGTCCGCGCCCGCCAGCCTCGCCGCTGCTGGGCTCTCCGGTGTGTTATAGTGGTGTGTCCGCGCCCGCCAGCCTCGCCGCTGCTGGGCTCTCCGGCGTGGCATAGTGGTGTGTCCGCGCCCGCCGGCCTCGCCGCTGCTGGGCTCTCCGGCGTGGTATGGTGGCGTGTCCGCGCCCACCGGCCTCGCCGCTGCTGGGCTCTCCGGTGTGTTATAGTGGTGTGTCCGCGCCCACCGGCCTCGCCGCTGCTGGGCTCTCCGGCGTGGTATGGTGGCGTGTCCGCGCCCACCGGCCTCGCCGCTGCTGGGCTCTCCGGTGTGGTATATGGCGCTTCCGGAGCGACGTGGATGGTCCACGCGGGGTTTAGTCCCATGCGGTGTGTGGTCACGATGTGTGGCGTGCTGCTGGTGTCCGGTGCCCGTGTGGTGACCAGGTGCTGGGGCGAGCCGTCGTGATGATCCGGTCAGCTGTAGTGCCCCTCCCGCGGTGTCGTGCTGGAGCGGCCGTGGCGCGCTGCTGGTCCAGCGCTGTAGTCTCCCCGCGAAACGGCGCAGTGCTGGGGTAGCCGCGTGGGTCGGTCCAAGGGACGGCACATCTGCGTGACATCTTTTTATTAAGGGATCATGACGCGTCACGCCCCTTGTATGGGGCGGCAGCGGCTGCATTGGCCGTAGAAGTGCTCGGGGGCTATGGGGAAACTGGGATTCGAACCCGGGCCTCACTACTAGGCGGTTTCATCATTCCTCGCGCGGCTATCTGGCACTCGAATTGACACTCCTGCCACCGCCAGGTGATCGGCGTGAGAAGGGCCGCGTGCGGCTGGACGTGACGCTCGCCTCGGAGCCGGACTTCACCAAGGTGGAGCGTCGGCAGGCGCGCCTGACCGCTCTTACTTCCCCGGTGAGCGTCACCCCTCCGTACGTGCCCAGCTGACTCCCAGCGGGCGACATTCGAGCTCAGTCTCGCGCCCGGCCGACGGCCAGGGCCAGCGGTGCTGCGCTCGCCGGTCCGTGGCCAGGGGAGAAGCTGTACACACACAGCGCCGGAGGGTCAGGCACAGGCAGGCAGCACAACACCCTGCTAGCCTCAGGCGTAGGCAGGCAGCACAGCACATCGCAAGCTTGAGGCCGCGGCGGGTCTGCCACAGGCAGGCAGCACAGCACCTCGCAAGCTTCAGGCCGCGTCGGGTCTGCCACAGGCAGGCAGCACAACATCCCATCGGCCCCAATCCGTGCCGCGGATTTTGGCTCTGAGAACCTCAAGCCATCTAATTCCCGATTTTCGATAGAAGAGTTCAGGGCAGTGCTGCGCGGCACGCGGAATGTTGCACCTGGATGGGAGGACGTCACAAATGAACTGCTAAAGAACCTCAGCAACGCGCCACTTGAGTCGTTATCGAAATTTGGCTTGATCTGGGACAGTGACACGTTTCCGAAGTAATGGAGGGAAGCAATATTCGTGGCTGTCCTAAAGGCTGGCAGAGATGGTACGGACTCCCTCAACTATCAGCCCGTTCCACTGACATCCTGTTTGTCAACTGTTAGAAAATGACGACCGGTACGCGACTTATGCGGTTTTTAGAGGCTAACAACGTGCGTTTCAGCTCTCGGTGAGGTTTTAGGAAAAACCGAAGCCCACTAGACCACCTGGTTGTGTTCGAACCAGTCATAAAAAATAATTTAACAGTCGTCAAAACGTCAAGGCTGTGTCCTTTGACTTATCGTCAACGAGTCGCACGCCTTTCATTGACGATTTCGTCATTTGGCTCTCGAGGTCCTTGTCAATTTTGACTGAACGAAATATTCAAATATGCCTCGACAAACTAACGCGCTGAAGTTTTATAGGCGGTTTTACCATTCCCCGACACTGAAGTTCTTGCGTATTATTCTCGACAGAAGATTGTGTCACTCCTATTCGTATCCTCGCTGTGGCCACCCGCTACCAGTTGTCCACCCGCTCGTGCAGTGTCGCCAGTTTGCAGCTAAGTGTCAGCGTACTTCGGCCGAAATGCGCACCACCGGCTGTACCTGTCCCTGCGCTCCGCCATCCTCGGGATGTTCCTGTCCCTGTGCTCCCTCATCACGCGGGATGTACCTGTCCCTGTCCGCCATCCTCGGGATGCACCTGTCCTTGTGCTCCCTCATCCGCGGGGTGCACCTGTCCTGTGCCCCCTCGTCGGCGGGATGTACCTGTCCCTGTGCCGTCATCCTCAGATGTACCTGTCCCTGTGCTCCCTCATGCTCGGGAT